GCGGGGGAGGAGAAGGCGGGGGAGGAGAAGGCGGCCGAGGAGAAGGCGGGGGAGGGGGGGGAGCCGAGTGTGCGGCCTCCTCTGTCCCTCGCGCTGCAGCGGCCGGTGGGGGCTGCAGGTCGGGCACGGGAGTGGGATCATGTCGCTCGGCGGGATGAAGCTCGAGTTGACCAGCTCGAAAGCGCCCTTGCCCGGGCAGCGCTCGCGGACGCCGAGCGCCCACGCCTGCTTCGTGAGCACGCCAACTTTAGGGCGGGAGGACGGCGTGTGTAGTGCGTTCGGAGTACTGCGTGAGTAGTGCGGAACGCAGCGGACGACGGCGTCTCCTCGAGCGCGAGTGTGAGTGCATGGGTCTGCTCCCGCATCTAGGCCTCGAGATATGGGGGGGAGATATGGGGGAGATATGGGGGAGATATGGGCCTCTCTTCCGCATCTAGGCGCCCAGGCGTAGGCCGAGCGCGCCGAAGGGTCCTCGAGAATGGTGAGGAAGAGGGCGACCTGGGAGGAGGGGGAGGCGGTGGGGGCGGGCTCGGTGGAGGTGGGCTAGGAGGTGGGGGAGACGGTGGCAGGGGGCGGGCTCGGTGGGGGTGGGCTAGGAGGTGGGGGAGACGGTGGCAGGGGGCGGGCTCGGTGGGGGTGGGCTAGGAGGTGGGGGAGACGGTGGCAGGGGGCGGGGTGGGCTAGGAGGTGGGCTAGGAGGTGGGCTAGGAGGTGGGGGGGATGGTGAGGACGAGGGCGGACCGTCTCGCGCTGCGGGAGCGTCAGGCTGCTCTGGCCGGTGAGCATGGGATTGCCTTGGACCAGCGCACGAACGCGAGGGCTGGGCACGCCAGCCGGCGTGCGTGGCTGGCCGTCGGGGGCGTACCCAATCTGGAGGCTGCGAGAGAGGAGCCGGCGCCTCGCCCCGTCGGGCTGGGGCTGCGCGGCGAGCGTCACGAGCGCATCTAGCGACGCCCCTCCGGCCGCGCGCTCGAGCTGCCGCCGATCTCTCAGCGGAAGGCCGAGCGCGTGCAGTGTCGCGCGCGCGCCTGCTCACACGTGGAGGTGTGAAGAGACGCCGTTCACAGCTGCGAGTCGCCACGTGTCGCGCGCGCCGCCCGACGCGCCCGCAGGGAGAGCGTCGGCGCGGCAGTCGTCATGGAAGCCGCAGTTCCGGCACGACGGCGCCAGCCGCCACTCCTGCGACCTGTACGTCTGCTGCTTGCGCCGGCGGCTGAGGAGGGCTCGGAGGCCGCCGCCGCCCCTGAGGAAGGCGTCGACCTTGTCGCGCACCTCCCGGAGGAGGAAGGGCGCCGGCGCCGCCTCTCCGTACAGCCAGACACCGCCGTGCCGCGCGAGGCGCAGGTGGCGCCGCACGCCGGCGAGGCGCGGGTCGGTGGCAATGAGCGTCTCGAGCAGCAGAGCGTAGTATGCCACCTGCACCATGGCCCCTACCTTGACCTTGCCCGTCGCCTTGGCGTCGATGACAGTCAGCTCCGCCACGACCGCGCCGCCGCCGCCGGAGACGAAACGCAGCAGCAGGAAGTCGACGTACGAGTTGGAGAAGCTCACGTCGCAGTGGTCGAAGGGCGGCCCGGCCGGTGCCTTGAAGAGGGGCTGGAAGAGCATCCACGGCGGAGAGGGCGTGCCGTTGGCGGCGGCCGCGGCGGCGCCGGCGGCGAGCAGCACCTCGACGGACAGCGCCTCGTGCTCGCGGCTGTGCTTGAGCTTGTGCAGGGAGGCCGGACCACTGCTGCTGCCCAATCTGCGTCTCCCAGAGGGCGCCGCGGGACGAGTGCGCCGTGGTGAGCGGCTTGTCGAGGTCCTCGATGTCGTCGGGCTTGTAGCCCCTGCCCTCCCGCTCGCAGAGGCGGTGCAGCATGCGGTCGCACTCGCCGGAGTTGAAGTAGGAGCCGAGCTTGCTCGCCGAGACAGCGAACGGCTTTCCCTCGGCCAACCACGGGGTGCCGCGGCTCGCGGCGAGGCAGTCCGTGACGTGCTGCAGCAGCGCCGATGGGCCGCTGGGTAGGCGCTCGCAGCACACGGGGCAAGTTGGCTTTGCGCCGGTTTCCTGCGCCAGGACGTCCTCCACGGCACGCCACTGCCAGTGCGCCGTAGGCAGCCCGTGGAAGAGGCGCAGCGGCGCAGCCTGCGTGCCGTCGTCGAGAGTGATGCCTCTGTCGGCGAGGAGCCGAAGGAGCGCGTCGGTGGTCGGCCCGTACTCGAGGCTTGCCGGCTCGCACGGCGATGTCATGCCGGCGCCCTACAGCCTGGCGCGAAAGGCGTTCTAGGCGCGCGGGCGCACGTGCGCCGCAGGACGCGAGGCTGACCAACCTGGGGCTGGGACGCGACCAGGCGTCCAGCGAGGGTTCGGCCTCCTTTGATTTTTTTTCGTTTTAGGTATATTGTTGGCAAATCAAGACACAGAGCTCACACAGAATCACAGCGGGAGGAAAGCGGCGAGTCGCAATTCCTGGGGTCCTTGTGGCGGGCCACCCTGTCCAGAGAGGCATGGATGCCTTTGATGGTAAGGTTGCGCGTTGACACCCCGCCAAGTTATATGCCAAGGGGTGCGATCGAGAATCGGCTCACGCACCTCTGCTCGCGTACCCTCACCCATAGAATTGTCACCGCCAGTGAGTGCGAGATAGGGCTAGCGGCTGGCGGCTAGCCCCTGAGGAGAGTGACCAGAGACACCTCCCTCACATGACCCCACGCACGGTCTAGTCCGGCCTCGCGGTCGGCGGAGATTGCTAGAGGCCGAGCAAGCCTGCTCTAGCCTCACGCGTTCGCCCCTGTTGTCTGTTGTTTGTTGTGCCCTTGTTTGTTTCTCTTGGCACCTGGGAGTGCTGGGGGGGGCGACAGGGAGAATGTGGCCCTGAGTGATGTGTACGCCAACTCAGGGTGTGTGGCAGCCAGCTGGCTGTGTGTCTTGTGAGCTTGTTTGTGTCTGTGTGTCGTTCGTGCGTGTCGTCATCATCTGTCTCGCGTCCACCCATACCGCGCTGGTGTCCAGTCTGAGCCTGGCTGTTCTTCACCTTTCTACCTACCTACCTCCCTCATCACCTCCCACTGGTTGTTATGACATGACTCGGCCAAATAAATAAATAAATAGAGCAGTTATCTCCAGGGAGAGATGGGCGACGCACACGAACACAGAGGGACAGTGCGCACCCCGTGTGTGTATCGCGCGCCTTGCGGGGGGGGCGCGGAAAAGAGGACCCCGCCCCGCTCGCAGGGCGTGCATCACACAGGTGGACTGTGTGACTCCTCGGGTTTCTGGGACTCGACAGAGGTGTGCTAGTCGCTATTCTCCGACAATTCCGACATGTCTGACCGTCAGAAAACACGCCTCCGTGGCCCGGGTTACACCAATCCTCGCTACCCAACGCGGCCAAAGGATATCCACCTCGAGAACCTCGAGAGAGAGACATGTCTGACGGGCAGTTTGGGCTCGAGCGGTCGCGGTCGCGGCCAGTGCGGCCAGCGCGCGGGGCCTGGGGCGGGTTGCCGGGCGAGAGCTCGACCCACGCGCCGGAGCGCGCGTGGTGCTTGAGCAGCCGGGCGGTCGCCGCAGCCACCTCGAAGGGTAGCTCGTCGAGCCACTCGCCGAATGTGCCCTCGTCCTGCGCCGCAGCGAGGGCTCACCTAAGCCGGTACGCGCGGCAGGCCCGGCTCCGGCGCCTCGGAGTCGCGGCGGCGGATTTCTTGGATTTGCGAAAGCCTGGTTGTGAAATTCTTGGATTTGGAGCCTTCGCCATGGTACACAGGTCCACAGGCAAAACGAGGCCCAGCGTGCAGTCGCGAGTCGCCTCCATGCCTGCTGCGCTCCCGCGACGCCCGCACTGCGCCCGCAGCGAGCCCGCGCCCAACGTGCTCTGCGCCGTCTTCACCTGCGCCATCGCGGCGATTGCGAGCGGCGGGTTCGCCTTCTCGCTCGGGTCTGACAGCTTCCTTCTGCCTTTCGTTGTGCCCGGTGCGACGGCGCTCACGACTGTGCGCGGGCCCGAATGGTCCCCCAAGAGCAGCAATAACACAGGGAAACACGCGACGGCCACGTGGCACAACGCCGTGCTCGGCGGAACAAAGCAGGTCGAGGGGGGCGAGCTCATGCATCACAGGTTTCCCCGGCACTTTGCCAGCGCCTTGCTGGTGACCTCAGCCGCGGTGGGACGGGTCCTCGATGTCGCCCTGCGCTCTAGCGCCGTTGGCGAGGCGAGCTTGTGGTTCACCGGGCCGCGACTGTCGCTCGACGTGCTCAAACTCTTCATCCTTGTGCTCGGACTCAGCGACGTTTGGGCAGCCCCTCGGCCAGAGGCATTCGTGCTGATGCTGCCGGAATACTTTGAGGTGCTCACACACACACACACACACACACACACACACGCACACACGCACGCACGCACGCACGCACGCACGCACACACACACACACACACACGCACGCACGCACGCACGCACGCACGCACGCACGCACACACACACACACGCACGCACGCACGCACACACGCACGCACACACGCACGCACCGCTTGTGGAGAAGTTTACCTTTCCTTACCTTACCTTAGGTGCTCCGCCGCAAGTGCAAGCCAATCAAGATGCAAACCAGCTGTCAAAAAATGGCGTGGCATCTCTTTAAGCACGGATCGAATTCGACTAATGCCACAAACTGTACCTCCCACCAGCTTGCAAAGGACATTCGCGCTGTCAAGAAGGGTCGGACATGTCTGATAAAAAGGTCGGATGACGCATCAAGCTACAAAGATGCTACACACACGCTGTGGCTAAGCTGGCTCGCACCTTCGATGAGCGATGTGCAACTGGGCGCGCGCAAGTTGGAGGAGATACTGGCTGGTGTGCGCTGGGCAGTGCTGCTCTCGTGGGCATTGTTCCTGGTGCTGCCGGCAGCCCCACGTCAGAATGCAGCGGCGATCCGCCGCCTCTCCACCCTCTCCTTTGTGGTCGGAATGGCATTGTACTTCTACATGCTGGTCGGGCTTTACTGGCAGAAACCGTGCCACCACATGCAGCCGCTCATCCTGTTCATCCCGGCTGCGGCGTGCATGATCCCAGCCATTCATGGCGGCTGGCCACTTCGTGGCGAAGCAGCAAGCTGGCTCGGACAGTACTTGCTGTTCGGCATCATGGCTCCGCTGTACCTCACAGCGGGCCTATGCAAAATCAGGTACCACGGCGTGACACAGGTCTTCCTTTCCTCTGGCTGGATCGACTTTGCCTTGGGGTCCTATGCCGCTTCTGATCAGCTTGGCAAGGGAAAGTGGTATATTCCTCAGCTTTCCCGGTGGATGCTTGACATCGATCGCCTCGTACCCCTGTTTTCGTGGGGTGGGATGCTCTTTGAAGTGGCCATGCCTGCTGCGGTCATTGTGCTATCGCCCACGTCACGTTGGCACAGGCCTGTCCGGCAGCTCTTTGCTGCTAGTGCCATCGGCTTTCACGTGTCCATGTTCTTTGTCTGCGGCGCGAACTTTTGGTACAATGGTGTCCTGGCAGCTGTGCTGCTGGCCGCCGACTTGATGGATGCGAGCCCAGCGCCCGAACTTGCGCACAGCGGCAGCAGCAACTCGGTCGTCAAGATGTGCATGTCTGCTTTCACGAGCGCGATGCTCTTCGGGTGGCTCCTCACATGCATCGATGCGGACATGGGCTTTGCACTTTCTAAAGGGGCTGGGTGGGGCGAGCCGAGGCACAAGGGTGTTGACCGGCTGCTTCCGTTCTCGCTGCACGCCATGTACACCAAGGGGATGAAGCGCGGCGCGGCACGACCAGGGGCTGCCTCCTCCATGACGATCGCAGCTCTCGTCGCAGCCGGCTACGTTTGGAACCGCAGGCGCACGTAAGGCGGCGGTGCGGCGGTTGAGCGAGGGCTGCAGCGGCACATGCTCACAGCCTGTCGGCGGCACGATAGGGATCTTCACATCTTCTGCCGCCCTCGAGCGGCGCAGCGGTCTGCGCTCGCAAGTGTATTCCCTTCCTGGTCCCTCGCGATCGGTAGTGAGCGACATAGCTTCGCGAAGCGTTGTAGTAGGGTTTGGCGTATGCCCCTGCGTATGCCCCTGGCCTCGAGATCGGGAGCGGTGTGCGAATCGTTGCGGTATGGGGAAGGGGGGAGGGGAGGCGTGCGAGTGTATTCCCTTCCTGGCCGCGGTCGGGAGTGAGCGACATAGCTTGTGCGCCGGGCCCCGCGTTGCGCATGGCATTCAAGGCGAAGTCCTCCACTGGAGGAGATTAGCGTGTCGTGTTCTTCATTAAGTAAAGCTAGAGTCCTTAACGGGCATATAAGAAAACCGAAATCTGGGCGCTACGCACCGTTTCTTAAACGGAGTCACTAAGTAAATCGGGTCCGGCTGGTCATTTACTTAGTGAAAAACTGGCAGTTATTAACTGGTTTCTTAATCCAAATCCTGCAAAATGGTAAGCTGGTTTCTTAATGTCACGGTTTCTTAATGCCCGTACAGTAAGGCGGTCGGCTAGGGGGTAATAGATGTCAGGGCGTATGGGGTCACTCTGACCTGTACCTCGACGCCACCTCGACGCTGTACCCCTTGCGCTCGCTGTTGCGGGCTCTTGAGTCTGCTCACTGCTCGCACACAAGTAACGGGGGCGGTGTCTCGTAGTGTTCCCGCCGTCTATGTTCCCCGCATCCGCGCTCCTCTTCGAGGGCCAAGAGGCGTTGTACCGACGCAGCGCGCTGTCAGGAGAACAGGACCTCAAAAGTACCATAGTAGTTTCAGTTAAGGACGCCCTTTCAGGACGATCCGCTCTCTCTCATATCATAGCCGGCTGAGGACCTCGAGACGGTTGTGGCCGATTCGACAACAGCTGAGATGCGGGATGCACGCTACCCGCTTTCGGGCGAGTGCCCAGCGGAACTGATTTCCAACGCCAGCCATGCCTTGATCTTCTCGAGCAAGCGTTCCTCTTGCTGGTGCGTGGTTGCATCGTCGGAGGTGGAGCCAATGGCAGTGCACTCTGCCTTGCTCTGTGCGAGTAGTGCGTGAGCACGAGCATCGAGCGCCGACAAGATGCTGTCGGCATTGTACGGCACAGAAGTTAGCAATGCTTGTAGCGCCTAGCAACACGGGCACGTTCTCATGCGCACTGCTAGGGGGTCACACACGAGAGGCAAGAAGATAACCTCGACAGCGTCGACCAAGAGCGCATCAGAAAACACCTTGGCCGCTCGTATTATGCCGCGATGCACATCCAAATGCAGCGTGAACATGCCAAAGTCGTCGATGCGAGTCTCAAGCGTGTGCGAGAAGTCGGGTGTCTTGCCAAGGACCCATGCCCAGCTCGTGAGTTCCGCCATGCGAGCAACAAACGCTTGTTCGGCAGCAACGGCATTTGACTTGTCGACGCGCTCCACCGTTTCCGCAATCGCAAATTCGGCGGAGAAGGCCGCTGCCAATGCCGCGGAGACGGCCGCGTATGATGAATCGGATACGTGTGGGTGCTGCCTGAGGTTAATGACGCGCGAAGCAACGCTTTTGATTCCTTTCGACGCGAGCTTCAGCGAATGGGGTGTTAGGTAACGGCCGAGGTTCTCCATGTTTGCATCGAGCAGCAACGTTCCATGATGCATCGACACGGCATTGCCATTTGCGTCATGTGCGTGCTGGAAAGCTGAGCCTGACACCTTTAGCGTCCTGTCGTCAATCGTGACAGTGACGTCGTTTCTCCCCGAGCGATTAGCATCCACGCCAAGATCCTTTAGAGCTTTTGCAATGATGGAGAAGTTGATATCGACCGAGAAAGTAGAGCGAGGAGCGATGATCGAGAAAACAAGCACCCCGCCATCAAGGTACACTGCCCCACCTCCCGAATGACGGCGCACAAGCGCGACTCCGTCTGCTTCGAGCGCCGACATGTTGACCTACAGAACAACTGAGCACGATAAAACGATGCAGGGACCAGCCAGCACGAGAGCGACGCACATACCTCTCGCCACGCATTTTGGTGGCGCCCAATGGTGACAACGGGCAGTGTGTGGTGCAGGAACAGAATGGGCGCGAGCACAGCTGTATCCTTCAGCAGGTAAGCCTGTGTGGAGGCGGAATAATGGTTACGGTAGACTCGACTGGCCGGAGTGAGAGTAATGGAGTCGCCTCGAAGGCGAGGTTGAATGCAAGATTGGACTCATCTGAGAAGATGATGCGCGCGCTGTTGCACTTGACGTCTGCGACGGTGGCTAAACAGAGCAGCAGGCCCGCCCGCATATACGTACATATTCGCTGTGCTCCTGACGTCCCTTCGGGGAGCACCGCCGAAAAAGACGTCCCGCGGGTAGCACCGCCGATGAAGACGCCTACCAGTCGTGAGACGGGGCGCGATCCGGTGGGGGCCACGCCGTGCGAGCCGCGCTTACGCGTGGTTCTTCTCACTGCCCTCGCGGTCGCTTCAATCGGCGCATTCGCCGTCCTCAGGGTTCAAGACGCAAAGGCAATTCAGCACGATGATCTCGCGCCCAACCGTGAGAAGTCAGCAGGAACCTACTACACCAAGGTTCCATCCCCGCAGTTTGAGCCCGTATAGCCCTTGATGGTTCGCTGCCTTACCTTGCAGCGACGAGAGCACCCCACGACAGGCCCTCGCAGCGTGGCCCAGCTCCTCTGCCGCCTCTGACCCTCGCAGGACCACGAGTGGGTGAAGGTGGAGGGCGATATCGGCACGATCGGCATCACCAACTTCGCGCAGGAGGCGCTCGGTGATATCGTCTACGTCGAATTGCCCGAGACAGGCGTTGAGTTCGGCAAGGGCGCGAGTATTTGCGCCGTCGAGTCGGTCAAGGCAGCCTCGGACGTCTACTCGCCCGTTACGGGTGCTCGAGTCCCCGCGATTATGCGCCGTTCCCTGCGTCCTCGCTGCCCCTTGACTGCTCTCTGGCCTCCAAGCTCTCCGCTTTTTCCCTCTGCGTTGCCCCGACCAATCACCTCCCTATCGGTCAGGCGAGGTGACTGAGATCAATGAGGCGGTCGACAATGATTCGGCAGTCGTCAATGGGTTGGGGCGAGTAGATGGTATGGGTTGGGGCGAGTAGATGGAGAGGTAAACAGAAATAACAAGGTTTCCCAAAATTCCCTCGCGGTCTCACAGGACACAGCTTCGTCCTTCGAGATTTCCCCTCCACACGCCACCAGCACCACCAGTAGAGTTAAACTTTGTCGTCGCTCGCCTGACTCGCCGAATCTCGCGTGTTCTCGCTCGTGGACTCGGCTTTCCCGGCTTCGGGGGCGCGACCGGAGAGAGGTCCCTGCGCCTCTCGCCTCGCCCCGGCCGAGAATCTGAACGGCGTCGCTCGGCCGTGGCGCCCAGGCCCCGGCAGCCGCGTCATAACCTCTGGTCATAATACACAAACGCCCCTTTTCCGGGGGGGGGGGGGGGGGGGATCAGAAATACAGTGTCGGCGCCGATCCACGTGCGCCCTCGAGCTAGTTCTGCGCCTGGCTCCTGACCCCTCGTAGATCTGTCTCGCTCTCGGCCCCGCCGGCTTGGCGCGTATCCCGCTCGCGGCCCACGGCGCGGCTTGTCTCAGCCGGTGGGCCGCCAGACAGAGCGCGCAAAGATGACCGCGCCGACGACGGAGCCAATCGCGAGGCGGGCGACGAAGCCACCACCTGCTTTCCCACGCCCACCGTCGATCTGCAAGAACGCCCTGTAGAAAAATGTGGGAGGAAGGTGCACACAGTCGACAGTGCCAGAATTTGCAGAATGCAGCAGAAAAGGGACGACGCTCGACGGTCTATAGTCCTCTTACACCTCTAGAGACTTGTCAAAACACATACGAATTAATTGCTCCCGCACACCGCGCAAAGACCGAACGAGACCACATCCAAGGTCCAAGAGCACGACAGGGGGGAGGGGGGTGCTCAGAGAGAGGGAACCCGCGGGGACATGTAGGTGCGCACCCGCATCGCGGGCACTCGAGTGGGTGGGCTACCTAGATCTAGAGGACTGATGCAGATGGCGAGCGTGCGCGCCTGTAACGGTCTGGCGGCGGTGCGCCACGCACGAGGGTTGAAGCACATGCTTCAATGCTTCGGTGGCTCGGCCACCTCCCGCTCCCCCGACCGCTGCTTCACGTCGTGTCGTTGGCGCACCTTGCGTCCGGCGGCTCCGCCAGCGACGCCATGACCGGAGGCTGCGAGCTGGCGTCGGCTTGAGCGGCAGCGATGCGTCCCGCCAGAGCGGAGAGGTCGGGGGGCAGGAGGGCGGTGCGGGTGGGAGCCGAGCCATCCGCCGGTTCCACCGGCTCCGCTCGCCGCTCGCGGGTCCGCCTCGCCCGCACCTATTCACAGCTAGAGGTGTGAAGAGACGCTGTTCACAGCTCGCCGCTCGCGGGTTCGGCGGTGCGAGGCGGCCGGGGGCGAGACAGCAGACTTGGCCGCCTCCTTGAGCCGCGCCTACGGGGGGCGATGTCGTACGGGCACGTGGTCATCGGCGTGTCACACGGGAGCGCGGCCCCTCTCCGGCGGAGGGCGCGCGCCGTGAGCCCCCTACTTGTTCCCGTCTCCCCCCGTCCCCGTGTGGACTTGACTCAGCTACGCCGCCTGTGCTAGTCGCTGAGGCGTGGAGAGGGGGTCCGATCTTGGAAGCGAGGCTGCCCGCTGCCACTACTACATACACTACTAGGCGTGGAGAGGGGGTCCGATCTGGGAACCGCCTTAAGGCTGCCCACTACTACCACGGAGGCGCGCACCCAGCGGTTGCGGACCGACGAGTCGGACCGGCCGGGCAGCTGGGCGGCGATGCAGCGCCACTGGCTTCCGTGGAGGCCATGGGCCTGGTCGAAGGAAGCAAAGGTCTGGGTCAGGTAAGGTGAGGTGAGGTCAGTGTCTCCACACACACAAGGAGGGTGGGGCAAGGGCCAGGCTGGCCCTCGCGACTCCACGTCTAGAAGACAGGAGCCCCTCGGCATTTCAAGTGCAAGGCCCGGAGTGTGTGCGTGCGTGCGTGCGTGCGTGCGTGCGTGCGTGCGTGCGTGCGTGCGTGCGTGCGTGCGTGCGTGCGTGCGTGCGTGCGTGCGTGCGAGTGTGCCGCGCGCCTGCTCGATGAGCGCGTCCTCCTTGGGGGGCCAGTAGGCGCGCCCGTGATCGGCACCGCGGTTTCTCGTGGTCGGCCTCGCCTGCGGGCGGGG